GCAAAAACTATTCATAACAACTCCCAAAATTATGCAGATTTTTGTTCTTTTGGACTAATATTGTGGTCCTGGGTTACATCCTTCGATGTGTGATGGAGTCTCGGCGTGGTTTGGGATTCCACTTGGCACATGAGGAGTCGCATGGCACGTTATGTTCGTGACAGGTGCACGACAGACGCGGTCAGCGGCCCCGCGGGCTGCGTGCGAACAGTGTGTCGTCGCGAGGGAAGCCCGCGAGATGGCGCGGTGAGGTCCAGGGCCTGCCTACTCGCCTCTACTCGCACCCGCGCAAGGACAGAGTGCGGCAGCACCATCGTTAGGAGTGAGGCCGGGTCACGATGAGAGGGGTTGAGGAAGTGTTGCCCGCGCCGTGAGCTTGGAGCGCTTGCAGGCAGCCGAGGCTTTGATTCGGACGACGGTCAGAATGTATTCCCGCCTCTTGACCCGCTTCCGTTTCCACCCACCCCTAATATTAGACTGTAGGACGGGCCGTGCCGGGGGTTTTATGACAGTCTGCTCGATCCCGCCCTGCAGCTGTCCTGGACGCGCAGGACGGGCCCGGGTGCTTGGTGACCCATCGGACGATCCACTGACCACCGAGGTCAGGACCAGGTCAGGGGGTCAGGGCCAAGGCGAGGTATGGACGTGGTCAAGGATTCTGCAGCGCTAGAGTCGTGGTCGAGCTCCACGCCGACGAGGAGGCGGGAGGCGCCAGTGAAGACTTGTGGACCGCCCCGCCGGGGTCGGCGCCTGTGCACTGCTCTCTGCACCAGGTGGCCTAGGCCTACTCCCGCCTGCTCCCCGGCTGGGGCTGCGGGCTGGCGGCGCGACCCCAGGGCCTCGCCGCGAGCCCGGCGATATCTCAGCTTTATTTTTGGCCCGAGTCTCGCTGCCGGCCGGCCCCGGCTGAGCGCCCCACTCACCTCCGCCCCTGCTGGCGCTGACCGCCTTCCAACCGCCCCCCCCCCCTCCCAGGCCCTTTCAGCTCGCACGCTCCGGAGGCAAGGACCTCCACTAACCGGGCAGAGGAGTTGTCCAGACCGACCCAGGCACAATATCACTGGATACAACGTCAACAGGCTTATCATAGTTGGTTAGAGACCAATGGACATGGTTTCGACGGAGGCCATGGATGGGATAATTTGTCACTAAGCATAAATGTACTGGGTGATTCAGAGAAGACGCAGGTGCGAGCGGGTTCGCCTACCTAAGGGGCCATGGCGCCTTGTGGGCACAGCGAGTAGGCAAACCCGCCCCACCTGCGTCTTCTCTGAATCACCCGGTACCAGCACTAGAACTCGAAAGTTCACCCTTTCTGCTGCCCTTTGTTCGAATTAAACAGCATACCGTTCGCGAGCAAAAACATGACAGCAGCGATGAGCAAGAGCATTATTGACTTCTGCCAGCGTCTCTGAGCCCATGAGACTTGAGAGGGGCCCGCAGTCGCACCCCCACCGTCCAAGTGAAACAGAGACAGAGAAAGAGAGAGAGGGAGAGAGAGAGAGAGGGGGGATGGGGGTGGGGCTCTTCGGACGCAACCCTACGCGGCTAGCGGGCCGGCGCAGAATAAGTACTCCATCGCGAATCAGAGCGCAAGTATATGAGAATAGCCGGACACCTGCTGCCGCCTGCCGCCGCCCTCGTCGCCGCCTGCACCGCCTGCACCCTCCCCAGCCCCTTTGTGTTCGTCTGGTATGTGCACATGACGTAAGGAACGGGAGGAGGGCCTAGGGACCGTGAAGGTCACAGAAAAGTCAGCCAGAGCGACTTGCGTGATGGCGGAAGTTAAACGACTTTGTCAATAATTTTATCAATAAATATTTAAAAAAAATAATTTTTGCACACCTCCGGATCTCTTTGGATGTCCGGTTGGACGAAAAGGCTGCACTGCACTCTTATTTGTTGTTGACTGTCCGGATATCTACGGGCCGACCGATCTGAACACATGCGGAACCAAAGTCAGCTGCGTGAGCGGTCTTTTATTTTTCCCCCAGAATGCATCACCCTTTCGGCCAGGCGTCGCTATTCGGCCACACGGTTTCGAACAGCGCGCCACACTGTACACCGGGACGCAGTTGGCGCGGGGAAGTGCAAAGCAGTGCAAAAGCGAGGGAAACGGCGGCGGCGTCCACTTCCTGGTTGCCATGGCGACCCAGGATGCGGCCGGGGCCGGGGCGGCCGGGGGCGGAGCCGCGGCTGGGCCCGCGAGCTGGCGCTGGCGCTGGCGCTCCCCCTCGCGGCTGGCGCGGCCCGCGCGGCCGGCCCGCGACCCGGCCCAGGGTGTTTACATGGTCCCGCCTGGCTCAGTGCGTGGCAGAGGCCGGTCAGCTCCGCCAGCAACGACCAGTTTTTTGAACGCGGTGGTTCGGTTCACGCCTCGTGGCCCGGGCCTGTCGCGTCGTGTCGAGCCTTTGCGGGGCGCGCGGGGCGTGCGGCGGGCGGGCGCGGGCTCCCCCGGGAGAGCGCGTGCACACGTGCGAGTGACGCGTGCCGGGGTGCGTGTTCGAAACCCTCGCGGGAAGTGGACGGCGGAGGGACGCGTTTGCCGGCCTGACAGCGGGACGCGCTTCCAGGCGTGAGCGCACCGGCTCAGTGCAGGTCAGGTAACGAACGCCAGCTGCTCGGGCTCCCCCCGCGGCCGAGCTGCACCGGCAAACCTTATCATTGCACGTCACCCGGAGGGCAGACATTAACCAGCGCTCTGAAATAAAAGAGACCCACCAGCTATCGGCTAATGTTCCTAATAAAGCGTTCCGGACCGGAAGATAGAATGCAAGGAACAACAAAACGGGAATCACTATGCTTTAACGTGGTGACTTGGTTGGTTTTCTTGTTACCCGCATTCTTTTACATTTCGACTTTACCGGAATGGTTTATTGAGACCAGTTGATTGGATCAGTCTCGATGGACTATTGAAAGCAACTTGTATGAACGTCGCAACGTCCTTAGCACTGCAAACTGGGCTGTGAACAGAGTTCTGACTGAGCAGACTTTCTCGCTTCTGACTGCAGTGGGTCGTGCACCCCGGCGCACCGCAGACTCCTCGACGCAGGGGGTAACGGATAACTTTTTGCGTCGGGTGTGTCCGATTGATACTCGGGAGCGTATCCGTGTAGATGTGAGCCGCTTGCTGGCTGAGTGTTGTTTAGCAGAGGCGCTCCACCCCAACACACAGCCTTACATAGCCTAACACTACAACGAATGGTTGCAACTAAGGGGGCAGACTGGACTGGACGCCTTTTTAGTTCCAATAGTCAAAGTTTTGGCCGTGGAGAGCGAAGATTTTTCCCAGAGTGGCACTGGTGGGCCTCGGCCCCCACTCGCTCCCGTAGTTATACAGGGTGGTCCATAGACCCCTTCCTTTATTTTGCTTATGCTGTACCGCATGCAGGCGTGCGGGCGGGCTTGCCTACCGTCGCTCTGCACGGCCCCTTATGGCCCCGTGTGAGTATGCAACCCGGCCGCACGCCTGCATGCGGTACAGTATAAGCAAAATAAAGGAAGGGGTCTATGGACCACCCTGTATACGACCCCCCGTGCGAGTTGCTTTGCCTATTCGCTGGGGACTGTTAGGCGCCGTGATTAGAGACGATGGACCAAGTGGACGTTGCAGGTAACAATGTAACTAGGGAAGTAAGACGCGTGGTTTTCGGGGGATCGACTCCCCCGCTCCTCTTCAGGCCAGCCCTATAAGAAGCCATATGTGAGGTTGGCACGTCGCTGTACAAAAACCCCAGCAAGTAGACAACGTACAGAACTTCGCCCGCCTCGTCAGCCGAATCGGAGACCGCGCCGCGCCGGAGGGAAGTGCCAGAGGGAAGTGCCAGAGGGAAGTGCCAGGATACGGAGATGGCTTTCCCTTACAATAGTGGCCCCTGTCGCGCTGGTAGAGGCCCTGTATAAAGTACAACGCAGTTAGTGGTCAGTGTGGTTGACACTACATAATTGCTGTACCTCTTCCGCATGGCTTACCGGGTACAACCCCGCGCACTTCTGTAGTTAGACTGTACCGCACGCACGAGTGCGGGCGGGCTTGCCTATCGCCCCTGTCCACGGCGCCTTACGGGCCGGTCGAGTAGGCAACTTGCCCGCACTCGTGCGTGCGGTACAGTCTAACTACAGAAGTGCGCGGGGTTAATCAGCCACCTGGTATATCTGACAGTGAACTTCACCATGACTTCACTCGAACCGTTTCGTGCTGCGGGGTCGCGACGCGCTGCTTCTTTGACTGAGCGCGAGGTGCACGTTGCAAGAAAAGCCCGCGAGAGGGGGACGTGCCAGTCTAAAAGCACGAACAATCATAGCGTGCACGTCAAGCGGTTGCCGTTCGTTTCCTGTAGTCGTCAACCCTCCTAGACGCCGCGCGACCGCGGCCAACAGCAAACTGAAACAACTTTGTTTGTATGAAGAAGAAAACATGCGTCGGATACATGCAGGCAGGGCAAATAGTGTGGGTGTGGGGGGCGTACTGCGAAAGAAAGGCACACGGCGGCCCTCGTTACCGCAGGCAGGCACCGCCAGGGCACCGCCAGGGCACCGCGGGCCCGCGCTTTGCTTTTCCGCTAAATATACCGCGCCTCCTCGTTGTGCTCCGCGGGGCTCGATACTAACGGCGGCCGTTGATGTGAAACGCGACACTTTTGCTTTGGACAACGGGCGGCAACACTGTTAAAAAAAGTTGAAAGACAAGTGTGTGAATATGTCGCACACTTGTAGGTGTGAGAACGACATTCGTACACATAGAGGCACAAGTGAGTAAATTTCAATGGGAAATTCAGACCCTTTACTCCCTTAAGTGTTCAAATGGACATTCACACACCTACAAGAAGTGTGTGAGATTCACACACTTGCGTTTTCAGTGTGTAGATTGACAATAACACAAGGGGTGGTGGTGCCC